CATGACCACTACCACCTCCATCACCACCATCACCACCTCTTCCACCACTATCCCCACCATCACCACCGCCATCAACCATCACCACCACCGCCATCACCACCTCGATCGCCACTACCACTTCCATCACCACCACCACCACCCCATCATCACCCTCATCACCACCACCACCACCACCACCACCTTCACTGTCACCACCATCACCACCACCTTCATCGTCTGTTTTCCCTTCTATGAAATCTGCCTCCCAGCCATGCCTTCTGGATTAAACGATACAGGCCATGTCAAAGCATCAGCGATTGGTGCAGAAAGCTTGGGGTAGTGTTGTGGCTGCAGCACTGTTCTTATCAGGGCACGGCAGAGGGGGGGCCCTGACCCATCTCCCTCGAGGGAGACAGCCCTCTCGCTGACCAGGGTGCTCCTCCCGCAGAGAAGACAGACCTCTCACAGCTGCCATTGTTCCTTCACAGGCATCGCCCTCAGCGCGCTCCCCATGTACCTGAACGAGATCTCGCCCAAGGCGATCCGTGGCTCTCTGGGGCAGGTGACTGCCATCTTCATCTGCGTTGGTGTGTTCGTGGGGCAGCTGCTGGGCCTGCCTGAGCTGCTGGGAAAGGTAAGTGCGGCTCGCCGGCCAACCGTGTCTGTTGTCATTTGATGCCACCCTCTCAGCTCCCCACATCCCTTCCGGGACCAGGGGTGGTTGGAGGTGAGCCCTTCCTCCAATGGCTTGTCCATGGCGTCCCTGAGCACGCAGGCCTCTCACTCACCACTGGAGGACAGTTATCGAGTTCCTTCGACTGCGTTTGATTTTTTGTTTTTTTCCAGAACATGAAGTATACATAACAAATGCAAACCTTAACAGAATGTTCAGATCCACCCACCCAATAACTGTTGTCAGCAGCTAATTTGTATTCATTTAGGTGTTTTTCTTTGCTTCTACAAACTCATATAAACATATAGTTGTTGTTGTTTTTGTTTTAATGGAACCATGCCACACGCATCGTTCTGCAACTTGGCTGTTTTCACTTACTGTATTTGGGGCATCTTTCCAAGATGTTTTGCTCTGCTCTACCTCACTCTGTCTTTCCTACATAAACATGTTAGTTGCAGTCTTCTGTTTTGGGAAGCAGGAGGGCCTGACTTTGAATCCCAGTTCAACAGCTGATTTGCCTTCTGGCCTTGGCAGGAAGGAAAGCCTTGCCCCGGGTTGGGGCAGGGGGAGGGTGATAAGGGAGGGGAGGACCTACAGAGACCAGAGAGAGGCCTGGAGGCTGTGGCTCTCTCTCCGGGTAGAGAGGAAGGGGGATGACCTGCTGTCGGAGCGTCCCACCGCCGGGATGAGGAGGGAGAGCGTGGCCTCCCCGCAGACAGCGGAAGGTTGGGGGGTGGGTCGGGAGGAGTTGAATCTCGGGGTGATGGGGGTGGTGCCTGCCGCCTGCCACGGTCTGGCGCTTGAGCGGAGCACAGCTGACCAGCCCCGTGAGCGGCGCCCCTGCTCCAGCGATAGGAGTGCTCGTGACAATGCGCACGTCTGGTGCGCTCGTTGTTTGTGCCCTCCCGAGACTCACGGCTGCTCTGTGGGCGGCTCCCCTCTGCAGCTGTGGACGTGGAAGCAGAGAGAGGTGAGGTCAGACCTGACTCGTGGCTCAAACCGGAACCTGGGTCTGTCTGCTTCCAGACCCATGTATGGGGCGTGTCTCACACAGCTAAGAAGGGACACGCTGGGTCCTGTGGGAGCGGGAGCAAGATCCCGACACTGATTCTCACGTATGCGTTCTTTCCGTGCATCAAGCAGTTCTCTGACACCAGCCGGGTGTCCTGTGAATCCACGCAATTCTGACACCATCTACCTGGACGCAGTGTCAGACCCCACAGGGTCAGGGCTCAGTCCCACGAGGCTGTCCCCACTTCAGAGGCCAGTTGCAAGTCTAGGTTGTCCCCTGTGCTTCCGACCGACTGGCCATAAATCAGTGGTTCCTACGACCTTCTCCTTGAGTTGGGTTAATTTGCTAGAACAGCTCACATAACACAGGGACCCATCGACCCACGAGATGACGGGTTTCTCACAAAAGGGTAGAACTCAGAACAGCCAGAGAAAGGAGACACGCAGGGAAAGGCTGGGGGGAGGGGAGGGCATGGAGTTTCCCTGCCCCCTCTGGGACGTCACTCTCCCAGAATCTGTGTTCGCCCACCTGAAGCTCTTGGAACCCCATCCTTTGGGGGGTTTGTGGAGGCTTCCTTACAAAGGAATGATAGATTAGATCATTGGCCATTGGCGACTGAACTCAGTCTCTGTCCTGTCCCCTCCCTGGAAGTTCCAGGTCACTTGGTTTTCTCCACGGATACCCAGCCCCCATCCTCAGGTGCCTTCCAAAGTCACTTCATTAACATAAATGCGGGTGTGGCTTAAAGAGCTTTGTTATGATTATTGAGACACCTTTATTACTCTCATCTCTTAGGAAATCCCAAGGGTTTTGGGAGCTCTGTGCTAGAAGTGGGCCGGAGACAATATATGTTTCTTTTTTTAAATCACAATAAGACAGTAAGAGCTTAGGCTGGGAGAATACCAGCCCCTTTATGCCCTACCCTTAATAAGCCGAGGGCCAGCCCCTGCCTCATTCAGGGAAGGTTTTGTAAGCTGAGGATTATGATAAGATTATGGGAGCTGGATGGCATTTATCCCTTAAAAATGTTTTTGGGGGCACCTGTGTGGCTCAGTTGGTTAAGCATCTGACTTCAGCTCAGGTCATGAGCTCGCAGTTCACGAGTCCGAGCCCTGCGTCAAGCTCTGTGCTGACAGCTCAGAGCCTGGATGGAGCCTGCTTCGGATTCTGTGTCTTCCTCTCTCTCTGCCTGTCCCCTGCTCGTGCTCTGTCTCTCTCTCTCAAAAATAAATAAAAACATTGGGGCGCCTGGGTGGCGCAGTCGGTTAAGCGTCCGACTTCAGCCAGGTCACGATCTCGCAGTCCGGGAGTTCGAGCCCCGCGTCAGGCTCTGGGCTGATGGCTCAGAGCCTGGAGCCTGTTTCTGATTCTGTGTCTCCCTCTCTCTCTGCCCCTCCCCCGTTCATGCTCTGTCTCTCTCTGTCCCAAAAATAAATAAACATTGAAAAAAAAATTTTTTTTTAAAAAAATAAAAAAAATAAATAAATAAAAACATTAAGAAAATGTTTTTGAATGTTTGCTAACACTTTTTATTGTGCTAAAATATACATAAGGTTGACCATTTGCAGCATTTTGACGTCTACATTTCCATAGCATCGTACGTGACTTTTTATACTTCACCTGATGGAGGTCACTTCTGAAGCATCTACTTCCGATCTTTTATTATCAACCCTTTGGGGTTATTATGGCCGCGATTTTTTTCTCTTTTGCAAAAACAGAAATAACGCACACTTAATATTTGTGGTTGCCACACTCATGGTGATTTCTAGAATTAGTGCAAGCAGGTGGGAAACAATCTCCTTACCAAAGTGAGATCCCACATTAGAGAGGCTCTTTTGCTTTTTGTTTTCAAAATATTTTAAAATTCTGAAAGTCAACGTTATGTGTGTGGCAAAAATAAAAACATTATAACAATCACAGCCTCTGTTCTTTACATGTAAAAATGTATTTATTTATTTTTTAATGTTTATTTATTTTTGAGACAGAGAGAGACAGAACATGAGTGAGGGAGGGGCAGAGAGAGAGGGAGACACAGGCAGCAGGCTCCAGGCTCTGAGCTGTCAGCACAGAGCCCGACACGGGGCTTGAACTCGTGAGCCGTGAGATCATGACCTGAGCCAAAGTCAGACACTCAACCGACTGAGCCACCCAGGCGCCCCATAAAAACATATTGTAAAGTCAACAGAGAGACCTGTTGTCCTCCCAGAGTGAAAAAGTAAATAAGCATCTGCTTCAGTAGAGGCTAAGTTTTTCTCTTTCAGGGGGAATTCCAATTCCTCATTGGACTCCTCTCTTGTAAATCAGTGTCCGGTCCTTTCTGCCACCAGGCTGGGGTCCTGTCTCAGCTCAGGTTGCTGTCAAATACCAGAGGCTGGGCGGCTTGAGAGCAAGAGAACTCTTCTGCATGTCGCTGTCCAGTTCTCCGAGCACCATTTGCTAAAGAGACTGTCTTTTTTCCATTGGATGCTCTTTCCTGCTTTGTCAACAATTAGTGGGCCGTGCGTTTGTGGGTCCAATTCTGGGTTCTCTATTCCGTACCATTGGTCTACGTGTCTGTTTTTGTGCCAATTACCATGCTGTCTTGATGATTACAGCTCTGTAGTACAGGCTAAAGTCTGGGATTGTGATGCCTCCCGCTTTGGTTTTTTTCTTCAATATTACTTTGGCTATTTGGGGTCTTTTGTGGTTCCATAAAAATTTTAGGATTGTTTGTTCTAGCTTTGAGAAGAATGGCGGTACAATTTTGATTGGGTTTGTGTTGAACGTGTAGATTGCTTTGGGTGGTATTGACATTTTAACAATATTTATTCTTCCAATCCATGAGCATGGAATGTTTTTCCATTTCTTTGTGTCTTCTTCAATTTCCTTCATAAGCTTTCTACAGTTTTCAGTGTACAGATCTTTTACATCTTTGGTTAGGTTTATTCCTAGGTATTCTATGGTTCTTGGTGCAACTGTAAATGGGATCAGTTTCTTTATTTGTCTTTCTGTTGCTTCATTATTTGTGTATAAAAATGCAGCTGATTTCTGTGCATTGATTTTGTACCCTGCGACTTTGCTGAATTCATGTATCAGTTCTAGGAGTCTTTTGGTGGAATCTTTCAGGTTTTCCAAGTAGAGTATCATGTTGTCTGTGAAAAGTGAAAGTTTCATTTCTTCTTTGCCAGTTTTGATGCCCTTTATTTCATTTTGTTGTCTGATTGCTGATGCTAGGACTTCCAACACTGTTAACTAGACCACTTTCTTAAACTGCACACAAAAATAAACTCAAAATGTATGAAAGACCTAAATGTGAGACAGAAAACCATCAAAAACCTAGAGGAGAAAGCAGGCAACAGCCTCTTTGACCTCAGCCACAGCAATTTCTTACTCAACACATCTCCAAAGGCAAGGAAATTAAAAGCAAAAATGAGCTTTTGGGACCTCATCAAGATAAAAAGCTTCTGCACTGCAAAGGAAGCAATCAGTAAAACTAAAAGGCAACCAATGGAATGGGAGAAGATATTTGCAAATGACATATCAGATAAAGGACTAGTATTCAAAATCTATAAAGAACTTACCAAACTCCATACCCAAAAAACAATCCAGTGAAGAAATGGGCAGAAAACATGAATAGACACTTCTCTAAAGAAGACATCCAGATGGCCAACAGACACATGAAAAAATGCTCAATGTCACTCATCATCAGGTAAATGCAAAT